CTTGAGGCCCAAGTCAGACACCTAAACCACCGGTAGCAGCGGAAGCAATTGAGTTGTAGTCAATGCTTAAAGGAACATTAGTGTGGATGAATGAAAAATTGTTGCTAAAACGTCACTTTCACAAATTCTCATCTGCTCTATTGGCATGAAATTTCGAGGTTTAAGAAACAGGCGCTTTGTCCAGAGTAGGTGGTGTTGAGTTGCAGTCTGAGTTTACAGATATTACTGGCTATTTCAGCAAAGTTGGCGCAGTTAACATGCCTAACAAAAAATCATAAATTACAGCAGTTCTGTACACACCGTATCTCAAATTTATAATGCCACTTATTTCACACTGTGCATGGAAAAGATACGAAAGGGAAGACACTAAACAGATGTATCAGATGAACTATCACCACCATAGTCTGCCACCAGAGACAGACGTGCATCACCTATTCTTTGCGACTTCACTCCGGTTACGCAATCTTTTGATAATTCTTCAGCACAAGTTAGCTTCCGATCGTCAGAACAGCAAAGTTCCCCGCTGATGGGCTTAACATCGACCAAATGTTCCTAAATATACTGCAGTGAAATTGAGTTGCAAAATTACATGCATGACTACAACAGCAATTCCCCCGCCTTCCGTTTTCCCTCTTTTCCGCGAGCTGAAGATTTCAAATTCAGCCACTGCGCACGCCTGTGCAGCACGTACCGTCACGTCAAAGTTTGAATTTGGAGCTGTACTAGCTCGGAAACTAGCCGGAAAACAGTGGCCGAAATTTTTTCAGAATATCTGTGCTTTTTGATCAAACCTGTAATTTAGCACTTGCTCGGTAATTCTCTGCTTCATAGCTTTCGTAATTTCAAAATTTCACTATCAGATAATAGAAAACTCAAAACGAAGCCAAAAATTTCCGAAAAAAAATTGGTATTACCGTCTTCACATCGCATTTGTCATGGAAGTCGTCCTCGTTCTGCTTTTTCACCCTCTTGGTGACCACAACACCAAGCGTTCCAGCAACTTTTGCTCTTCTGTTCTCGTTTGACTTCGAAGCACTGTCGAAGGCGCTGCTACTTTTATTGTTAAGTTTCGCGGCGAGTAATTCTTTTGGAGAATTCTCGGCCACGGACGAGGTCGATGGTGAAGCAGTTGAAAATATTGGTTTTTTCAGTACAGCGTTTCGTTTTTCCTCGAGGTGCTCTTCCGGAACTAAAGCATCTTAACACTCGCCAGATCCGAATGGATGAAAATTTTTTACAAAAAGTAAAAAAAGAAACAGTTCTGCAAACAACTTTAAACTTTCTAGTGCCAGTAGATTTTCGCTGGATGGGCCGCTGTTCTTGGCCTGGTTACCACCCTCTTCCATTCCCTCACAGGGCCTTTGAGGCCCGTACTGCCTTTTACTTCACAAAACATTCTGCAAGAACTAAGTCTAAAGCCAGCTGACTGTGCCAATAGCAGCACGGAATGGGACATTTTACATGTCAAAAATCTGTACGGACTTGTAACAAAGAAGTATAATTGATGGTTTTTAGGCAACTTTCTGAAAAAAAAAACTTAAAACTTCTTGCTTCGTTACAAAAAAGAGTTTTATTTAGCATACATTTTATGCTATTGTATCGCAACATAGCTGCCGCGAGCTTTCTGTCTTCGGTGGTTTCTTGCAATAA